AGCGGGGCCGTGCTTTTTTTAGCACACGGCGCCCGGCGTGATGCAAAGGCAGCTAAGCGGCTCCTGCCAAGGCCAAGGCATGCCTGTTCTTGGCAAGCTGGCTCTGAGTCAGCATTCGCCACAGGGGAATCCGGAGATGAAGCTTGGCATCATGCACTCCTACGATCTTTGGAATATCCAGCAATCCTGAAGCCTAAACCCTAAACCGTGGCTGAGTCCCCCATGCCAGCTGACCTAAACTCACGGACTTCAGATCTCTCCACCCCGGCGCATGGCTTTACCATCGGGGGTTGCATTCTGGGAATGGCAAGCACTCGAAACCGTGTCTATCGTCGTGTTCGCTGTAGGTAGAAGCCCTGGCCGACGAGGCTTTGCTCCTGCACATCTTATATGTGAAGGTTTTGCTGGCGTCGAGCAAGCCAAACTACTGCTCTTGTCCATGCAAACTGATTGAAAGAAAATTGCCAAAGACGTGCAACCAAAACGTGGCTCTACGACGAAGCCTGAAACAATAGGATTGGAATGCAGAAACTTGAAAGTCCGTCGTTTCCTTCTCGATTCCTAGTTTCACAACATCATACTCGGTCACGTCAGCATGGCAGAATTGTGGCTAAGAAATCAGCACCCGATGACACCTGGCAGTGCTTTCACCTGCACGACTGCACCGAAAAGGCATCAGCAGCCGGTGCCATGATGGAGAGTTCACACCCTGGCGAAATCGGGGTTTAGGGTATAGGGTTTCGGGTTTAGGTTTCGGGGTTTAGGCGTCGGGGGTTTGTAAGAGCGGGATGAAGGGTCTTCTCCATAATGAGTTCAAGCAAGTTGTGGTGCAAGAAGACCAAGCTGTTGTCGGAAGCCCGCTGAAACTTGAAATGGCTGCTGCTGCTGCTCCGTCTTAAGAAACGATGATGCTAAACAAAGTTTCCCCTTAAGAGAATTGCTATACTGAAATTAGCCAAGATGTTCAAGAAGTGTGTAGGACAAGCTTCGTAGGTATTACCGTGCTGAGGCTGCTGCCTGATGATTTGCGTGGAACTCCTCAAACGCGCTTCGACTTCGTCCGCTATCTGCTCCTCTGCCGGAACAAGGATCGGTTAAGGGTTTAGGGTGTGGGATCTTGGGTTCGGGGTTTAGGGTTTAGAGTTTGGGGTTGCTAGAAAAGTGTGTTGGTGTGGCTGACAAGACTTGGGAGCAGTGCGGACGAAAGCTAGAATCAAGAATTTGTGTCCTTTTCTCACACGCTTGACTTCATGGGCTAAGAAACCAACCAAAGGTCAATGAGATGAAAGATGAGATGAAAACACCACTTGTCGACGCTAGACTTGCTATGCCTACGCACAAAGAGTAACAGAGAATGTGCTCCAACCAATTTGCTGACACAACCGGCGCACGCAAAAATTCGATTGACAAATACAATGCGTTACAGGGGCCCCCCCTCCTTTATCTAGAGAACAGCTTTTCCGATTTATATCGGGCAATAAGGCCCCCCCCGCTGGCGTAACCTCAAATCCGTGATATATCGGTAGCTAAGGCCCCTGAAAGTCTCATTTGTTCCAAACAACTTCTGTAAACTACAACTCCGGCAAGCTCCAAAAGAGCTAGCTCGCGTGACTGTGCGTATGACCAGGGCGTCCTCCTTCTTGTCCCTGCAATCCAGGTACACCTTTGAGTTCGGCATGACCATTTCTACCTGGGTCGTGGTAGGAAAGACACAACGATCATTTTTGTGGGCTTTCTTTTGAAATACGGGTTATAAGTACTCACAAGTACAATCCAAGACACAAAAAGTAAAAAGGATCCCCAGAATTGACCTAGATACGAGGGCTTCGGCGTCGCCGTGTTTGTCAATATGGTCTTCGCCCCACGGCGGTCGGGGGGGGTAGATGTCGTCAACCCTCAAGGGTACGACATCTATGCAATCTTCATTGTCTTTCGCGTATTTGAGCTCAGCAAAAGAGGAATAGGAGCTCTTAGTTTTCTCGGCGTAGTCTGGAGTGCAGACTGAGAGCATCACGCCTCTTGCCCGCTTCAGTTGCCGCAAATATCTGGCAGTCAAAACACCGAAATCATCGCCCCCCCCTGCGTCTACCATGAGAATGGTGAGACCACGTGCACGGAGCAGCTCGCACACTGCTCGGAACTTCTTCTCGGTGTCCTTGTTCGTTTCGTTGAACCGAGCAGAGATCATAGCAATGCGATCCTGCGGCAGCTGCATGGAGCAATGAAAACTTGTCCCAAAGCCTGCGAACCCTAGTCAAGCCAATCCGTTGACAACTTGCTACGCTCAACACAACGAGGGAGGAATTGATATAGAGGAAGAACAGCGCAGCTGCATGCCTCGCTTGACATATCTTTCTCATGAGTATCCAGTCTCGTTGGTGTTTAACAGCCCAGTGACAGCGAACATACACCAACCATGTCACAAGTACAACTCAAGCGTAAACCCCAAATCCAAAAAAGCCCTAAACCCCAATCCCTAAACCCTAGAGCCTAAACCTCAGACCCTAAATCCCAACTCCAAATCCTACGCATCTCCTCAGGGCCCTGATCTTTCTTGGAAAAGCCCTTGGATCTTACCCGGACTTAGAGGCTGGGGGGGACTTAGTAAGGGGTTGAGTTCTATTTCGGTCACTTTTGTTTTGAAGGGAGGGGGGGTGTCGTTTTGTTCTCGTGTTGTTTTTGATTTCCTGGCCTGCCTGACCCATGAGGCTTGGGCCCACCGGCGGTCGTAAAAAACGCCTGGTTTGACGAAGTTTCGGCGGCTGCATTCTTTCTTTCTTTCTTCCTTCCCTTCCTTCCTTTCTTCCTTGCTCTCTCTCTGTCTCTCTGTTGCCTCAGTTCGTTGCTTCCTTGCGGGCATGCGTTCTTCCTTTCATTCTTTCTTTCTTTCCCTCCTTCCTGCCATCCTTGCGGAGGCCGTTCCTTCAACCCCCCTCGGCCCACAAAAACAAGGACCCCCCAAACCAGGGGCCGAACAAATATGCCTCTCTTAGTAAGCAGGCGATGCGTTATGGCTTCCTGCAACGGCTCCTTTAGAGTTTTATGGTTTAGGATTCCACTGATCCCTCAAGCATGCCCATGTCAGACTCAACACAGTGTGCACAGTGAGAAACCAAGGGTCTGCGAGGGTTGGGTTAAGGGTTATGGTTCCTTACAGTAGAGTACTCCTTGCTATGCATGGTACAGAAGGGCCCATCGGTGAGAAAATCCTACGAAGCGTAAAAACCCAAACTGTCTTCTTGCAAACAAGCATTGCCTCACAGGGCGGATCAGAATGATGGCTTCTTTTTGGCACCCCTTATAGTAGTGAGTATACTAGTGTAGAGACCCCGTATAATCATGAGTATACGATTGTAGTGACCTTTTGAACGGCCCATAATTTGAAAGAATCCCGATTACGACCCTGTTTCTGGCGGCCTCGAACTCGATGCCTGAC